CGTCGCAACAAGCCGGACTCCCACATCGGCCACGGGCGATCAGGGGGGCTCAACAGCACACGGCACCATGACACTGCCGCGGCGATGACAAGGCCGCGCTCATGGTCTTCAACCATGTATGTTCAATGTCGGCCACCATAGCTCGGTTGGTTAAATAGTCGCCCTTCGGTCCAACGACCCGCGACGGAGTGGGTTCGAGTCGCTTTAGACGCTCGGTTGCCTACACATGTATGGACGGCGGTCGGTGGCCTGTGGCGGCCGGTGGTAGCAGCAGTCGCACTTAAGGTCAGGTGACGTCAGAGGGCAGGAGGAATTGTGTCGAGGATCACGGTTGCGCTAAGCTTTCGTCGCCAAATTCTGTCGTTGAGCCGTAATCGCGCGCTTGTAATCACAATCGGGGGCAGAAGCCAGGGTGATGCAACAAGCACTTCTTAGTGTGAACTCTGACCTCAAAAACCATCCATTCAAAACGTTCAGATTAAGCCGGAAGAAACGCCTCAAAAGGAGGACAACAAAAAACCTTCACTCTCAGTCAGGTCAGGTCAGACCATTTCAGTCATGTAAGGTCAGTTCAGGTCAAACCATGCCAGTCAGGTCAGGTAAGGTGAGGTCAGGTAAGGTCAGGTCAGGTAAGGTGAGGTCAGGTCAGGTGAGGTCAGGAAGGTGAGGTCAGGTCAGGTGAGGTCAGGTAAGGTGAGGTCAGGTGAGGTCAGGTAAGGTAAGGTCAGGTACGGTCAGATGAGGTCAGGTCACACCACGTCGATCAGCGTGCGGCGGCCCAGGCGCCGGCGGACTCACGTCGTCGCCCCACGAGAGCAGGACATGACGGACTGGGTGCGGCCGGGCTCCTCCCCCGGCAGGTCGCCGTCCGTGGTGGCTGACCTGCCGCCGCAGCCAGACAACCATCACCGCCCGCTCCGAGACACGCTCTGTGCCGCCCCTCGGCGGCCGCGGCCGCACACAGCTGGGAAGCGCGTGCCGCACGGAGGGGGCGCGCGACCGCGGCAGGCGCATGGAGCACTTGGCGAACAGAAGAAAACTTAGCTTATCAGTAACTGTGATAGCAATGTCACTGTGATGGCAACAGATCTACCAGCGTCCGCCATAGCGGCAGCCCGCGGGGAATATCAGCTGGCTGGACTGCTGATAATCGGCAGGGTGACTTTGCGAATCACCTGTGCTAACGTGGAACGCATTGCCAGGACACAACATAGCCACTTCCATTCGCGTCGTTTCTAGGTCGCCATCGGGCCAGCCAATAAAAAAGATCACACAAACGCTCTGGATTCAAGCCCATAATACTCAAATTGAACTCGTTCGCCCGCGGTCACTGAGCTCAACGACGTTATAGTGGATACCACGGAGAAGCCGAGGTCGCCGAGTGAGCCCAGGGGACTCCAGGTCCAGGCAAGCAAACACGCCCAGCAGCAGGACAAGTTTGCTAGTGAACGTGTTGTCAGCTGCTGATGTCTTAGAACAGCACTGGTTACAGTTACAGCGTTATTGTACCCTCGTTACGGTTGCAAGGTGGCAGTAAACAGCAGGCATACATGCACCATCTGAGGCTGCTGGCGGCCAGTTCAGACCAGCTTGTCAGAGGTGAGACCAATGGCCCATACTGGCCCATACTGGCCCATACTGGCTTATACTGGCCCATACCCGATGTCATCGCGAAGAAAGCCGAGTCCAGAGTCGTCGTTCTCCGCGTCCGGAGGAGGCCTTGAGAAGCCCAATTTCTCCACACTGCAAGAGCCGCAACACAATGGTCAGCACATTGCTCAATGGTGCCAATTCCTGTGATGAAGGCCGACCAAGGAAGTGCCTGAAGATGAGACTGATGACCTCACTGGGTGTGGGAATGGCTTTGCCCTACTGGCAATGCTCGCATGTCACCTTGGTTTATCTCAGTCCTTACACGAGCCTCCCATGCCACCCAAAGGTGCTATCACATAGTGTATGTACATTGGGACAGTCGAGTTGTTGACAACCTTCACCAACAGTGGTGACAGCTCTAAATGAAAGTGACAGAGCACCCAGATAAAGGGGCATTAGTTTGTTGGGTGGTGGATACATCATGGTTGGTATCCAGTTCTGGGGTGTGTAACACCTTCAAGGATGAACAGCTCATGAGCAGTCATCTCTGCCTGCATTGTGTCTTACTTTCGTCGAGAGAATGACATCTTCAGGTGGGCTCCGACAAAATCAATGGGACTGAGTTACATAAGCACAACTCCATAATGTAGGTGAGAAATAGCCTGAAAGAGAAGAACATCTGTGACATTAAAACACGTTATGATGATCGGGCACATGACAGCTCCTCTAAAATTTTCATTGCCTGATAGTATGAAAATGACACCATTCCAGTTGCCTTTCAACATGAATAAAAAAACAACCAGTTGATGCACCAGTATCAGTTGCACCTTGTTTTCAGGAATATGACCATAGCAGGGAACACAATACCAGGTGAAAGTGCCACCAGTTGGTGCTTCCTTCCATGGAACCTATACCAAGGCCAGAATATTCTAGCATGATTTTGGCATAAAGATTAAAATCCAGGCAGGCAGGTACAAGGTAACTTGGGGAGATGCTGCATCATTTTGCCCTCAGCTACAAAAATTCCTGACAACCATTTGTTTTTATCATGCTGGGCAGTCAGACACTTCTCAACTAAAACATTGGATAACTCAAAATGAGGTCACTTTTATAGAGAAAGATCCATTACATAAGTAATATTAAAACTTCCAATTAATCTAGCTAGCAGGAATATCATCACCTAAATCTGCATATTGTAAAGTACCAGCAGCACATGACAGCCCTCTGTAACCCAACACATTTACTCAATAGCACAGAATGTGAGTAAATGTTTGCACACCACCCAAATATTTATCATTCTTTCAAACATATGTTCTCTCTAACCCAACAATACTGACAAGCCTTGCTAATGGCACAGGTCCAGCAGGAAGCGAGCACCAAACAGGCATTCAAAACCATTACTTAATAGCAAGCATCTTTTCCATCATAATACAAATACCAGGATTGTTGAAAGGCTCCTTGCTAGCACCCACAGTTTCTTCTGGACAATGCAAACTCAAAATATCATGTATTTATTGTTATATCTAGTCTCAATAACCTCAAGCGTGACACATGAAACAGCCTTGACCTCCACACACCACATCTCCTGGCTGCTCATATAGACTTGCCTGTGTAGTAAAAAACCTTGTTTAAACTTTAAGAAGGACAATGATGTAGAAGTTGGCAGAAATATCGGTAGGCTTACCCCTACAACCATGCACATGCTAAAAACTAAAAACCGGAACCC